GCTGCGGAAATTGCATGTCAGAACATTTTGTAGGATAAACGAATATTCAAGTTTATTAGGAATGTGATATAAATAATTATGAGAGCTTTTGATATATGTGTTTTAATCTCCTTTTTTCCCCTAAGGCTATTGGACAGAAGAATTAATTTCTAGAAACTCTTCAGGGGAAGCAAAATAATTTCTTTACCTTCCTATAACTGTTGCAAGAAAGAAATATTTCTCTTATACCGGTACTCAAATATGCATCTGTCCTTTGTGAATGTTTTTTGGATACTGAGCCGTTAACACTGAAATACCGAGATCTTTCAAACCTAACCCTCCAGTAGAGATTGAATTGGAATTTTTTTCCAAAGCCTTATCCCAGGCTTCCTCTATAAGTAAAACAGAAATGAGGACGTGGAGGGCTAGGGAGGGACTAAGAAAGAAAAAATAAACTTTGTGTGAAGTTTATATTTGAAGTCATCTGTGGAAGTTTAAAAGAAACCTTCTACTTCTTCTAGCGCAAGGGAGTCGTACACAAGTAACATTTCTTCCCGACGTAAAAGTGAAGGCCACCAACTCTACGGTCTTTGGTTAAGGTTGTATTGTGTGCCGGCCTGAAAGCCGTTCTGTTCAGTGTCTCTCTTCAGTCCTTACTCAGTCAGGTAGGAACTTTCTGAGGACAAATGGAGAAACAGAGTATACTCAAAAGAGCATTCATTCAGCAGCCACATTCTGCCGGAAACCACTGCTTTGTTAACGCAAGGCTGTTTTATGTGTGTTATCTGGCCATATGGTTAGAACTGATGTTTCTCACAACTTTCGGGCGCTTGGGAAATTTTAAGCATAGATGTGACACAAATAACATGGCTAGCTGATTATGTAATGTACTGAAAATTCTGCCCAAAACTTGAATTTAAAAACATTCCTTTTTGTTTGTCGCAGATGTTTCTCTGCTCAAGGAAAAGTCACGCACTGCAGAATCAGATCTCTGATGGTGTAGGTTTTCTCCAATGAGCACTCAAGTGGGAGGGCCCAGGTAGTGGGAGGGGCTCCAGGACTACTTCTTCTTCTTCTTCTGCCCGCGCCCCAGAGCAGAACACCATTCTGGCCCGGCCTCAGTTTCCTCTCTTTGAAACCTGAGATCGCCAAACCCGCTTCAGCTGCTCACTTCCTGGTCCGTTTATGGGACTCCTGCCTTTATTTCCAGACTTCATGGATAAATGAATAGATAACTAACCATAAGACCCCTTGTCACATCTTTCAAACAAGGCCTGGAAAACTGTACCAGGTGCGTTCTTTCGTATCCAGCTCTGTGAGATCATCAGTAATGCAGGATCCCGTGAAGCCTTTTTCCTACACTTTGCCTCACTTTGGGGACACAGTCTGTGACATGGAAGAAGAATGGTTTTACAAGACCATTTTTATCATTCATTTTTCATAAAACATCCTTTTTTGTTATTGTTTTATTTATTTAAGTATGCTCTGTGCCCAACGTAGGGCTCAAACTCACAACCCTGAGATCAAGAGTTGCATGCTCTACCGACTGAGACACCCCGGTGCCCTTCATGAAACCTCTTTTTAAAGCTAGATTAAAATAGACTAACTGAAGTTCTGCTTGCCCTGAGAAAAATAGCTTTCTCCACGGACATTTGAGGAATAAATGATGAAGTAAGCCTACCTTGTGTGAGCAGGACTGACCGCCACTTGGCAGGAGTCCTGACTTCTTCCACAAGGTCAGACTTCTCAAAAGGAAACTCAGTTTCCCCCTGAAATTCGTAACTTCCCATCCCAAGTTCCTACACCTTCCTACACCCAAAAATGTTGAGGAAGCTAAGTGAGCATTTTAGTTAACCAACTATAAATTATACACCTGTAAAACAAATCAGAAACAAAAGGGTTATCTTTCTAGGATTATAAAACAAGGGCTTTGTTGGGAAGATTTTGGTGGGCTTCTTGGGGTTCAGGTCTCTCGACAGCTTTTTGAAGGACTTTGTGGGTATTCGAGATCATGTTACTTTTAAGTGCAGCAAGAAAATAGCTGTGTGCTTGAAGCTTACATTGACTTCAGGGAAAGTGAACCTGGATTCAGAGTGCGTATTTCCTGCATCGGGAAGCTTGTGGGCGTACCCGTCCCAATCCTACCAATCTACCACAAAGGAGGACCTAGAACTTTGGAACTGAGAGGTGTTTTAAATATTATAACCCACTTCCTCTTCAGCCCGACTCTCCTTTTCCCATGTCCTGCTACTTCCTGACCTCTCCTTTTTGCAATGAGTAAATGTACTCACCTCTCTTTTATCTTAAAAATAATCTACTCAGACCCTGTGTCCTCCCATCTAACATCTGCTTCAAACAAGTAGTGGCTAGTGTTTTTAAGTAACCCTCCTTGAGACTCCTCTCTGCCAGGTTCTGCGGGCAGGCCACACCCCTGCTTTGACCATCCCTCCTCCCTCCAGGCATCCCCTTCCCTCCTGTCCTTGAATGTTCCAGCTGTCTTGACGCCAGCTCTAGACCTTTCTTTGGGTTCGTGATTCCACTGGCATCCTAATTTGTGCTACCAGTCACAATCTTTATGAAACACTTCATTGTCAACCTCTCACATATTCTTAGGAATTTGTCCATTTTTTAAATTTCCCCCCCCAAGTTCCACCTGAAACCTACCCCCTCCACCCCCACTCCTTAATGTCATGGGTGTTTTTAAGGTTACGGGAAATAGTCAATTCTCTTAAAGGTTGTTTCTGATAGTCACTTCATTGCAACTTCATTCTTTAAAAATATATACGTATATATCGAGAAGGGCATTTATTATTCATTTTAGTTAGTTTTTTAAGGGGATTGGAATAGATTACAGCAGCTTTTCATCCAAGTCCTGGCTTCCTCATGCTCATTTTTGCTTTGCGTCTTTCGAGGAACTTTAAGAGCCTCACTGGTGAGACAGGATGCATGACTAAGGGGACAGAAGAGGTGACAGGAAGATGTTTGCCACCGTAAATTACCACACATAGCCATTTCCCTGCATCCTTGTGGCAAATAACAGTTAAATACTCAACTGTAAATAGTTCTCTGGTGGTTGATCAGAAGCCCCGCCCTCTGCCATGCACGCGTAGCAAGTCTCCGCGACTCTGGGTCTGTGTGAGCTCACGTGGCTGTTACTCAGGTGAGCCAGGACAGCCCAGCAGTGCGGACTACAGCTGTCCACCTTCATTCAAACAAGAGGGAAGCAGCAGCTACCGTCTCAGGGGCTCAACAATCTCATATTGTTGCTAGATTCGTTTCCCGAAAACTTAATGTGAGATGAAGTGTAATTGCAGATTTCCTTAAGAACCATTGACAGATACTTAGCCTAAGTCATAAGCAACTCACACTGTGAAATGTGTACAAACATGCTAAGTTTTCCTCCAGAAGAATATACTTCAGTAAAAACCAATATTCATCAGTCTTGTTAAATAAACAGCCATTCCCATTCAGTGGAGAAGTTGGGGAGATGTTCTTTGGTTGCCACTCGATTTTCAAAAGGGGTGAATATGGCAGGAAAGTTCATTAGTTTTCAGGGAGTGAAGGAAGTGCCTGGTAAGTATCCTCCTAGAGACCTTACGACCTTTGGCTAAGGGGGCTACATTTTGAACAAGATAGTAAAAAAAGATAGTAAATTATGGTGTGTTTAGGTTTTGGCATCGTATGATGGAGAGGAGAGTTTGGTGTTTTGTTTTTAATTGTTAGGTGGTCTGTTTAGTGCAGCTGTGTTTACGTTTCCTAAACCCTAACTGCCCGACTATGGTAACAAGTCCTTACATATGAGAATAGGGACAGCTTTTTCTTTTTTTTTTTTTAAGATTTTATTTATTTATTTGACAGACAGAGATCACAAGTAGGCAGAGAGGCAGGCAGAGAGAGAGGAGGAAGCAGGCTCCCCGCCGAGCAGAGAGCCCGATGTGGGGCTCGATCCTAGGACCCTGAGATCATGACCCGAGCCGAAGGCAGAGGCTTCACCCACTGAGCCACCCAGGCGCCCCTAGGGATGGCTTTTTTGAAATCTTCTTGCCCATGTGCTTTGATACAGAGAGTTGTGTTTATCAAGCAGCGAAGGCAAAAATAATTCTAGGCACAATCATTCTGTGCAGCTAGTTGCTACTACATCAGACATTTTGACAACCTTGTTAGAAAGAAGTAATTGGTGCTTTAAATGTTGTACTTCACAGTGGACGAAACTTGGAAGTGGTAGAATGTTTTCGACTGGTCACATTTTTCAACCAATGTTTTGGTTGATTTAACTTCTTGGTTATTAAAGATGTGTGCTTAGACCGTAAATGTAGATCAATCCTGTAGAGAATTAACAGTCCCATATCTTTGCTGTCTTTCTTCCTAAAAGAAATAAAATAAAAAATAAAACATGAACATGGGGTTGTGGCTGTAACAAAGAAGAGGCGGTTGCTTATGAGAGAATAAACGTATTTAATAAGGAAATAGCCGTAGGAATTCATCAGTAATTGAAGAGTTATATGCAATGTGTGAAATGTTTAGATGCAGGGACTTAATGACTAGTTTTTGAGGCATTTTCTTTACTGTTACATCCCTCATAACTCAAATTAATGTTTATTACTACTCTTCCCCGTTGCCAAAATATTTTCATGAATTTGGATTAGAAGCAGCTTGTTCCGGCTTGTTTTGCAACGTTGCTTGGAGAAACCAAGTGATACTTAGAAGATTTTTGTGTGTGTTAGAGGCCTTAATTATCTTACTTATGTTGAAGGAGGAAGCTAAGTCTTGTTTCATAGTTATGTAAGAAAGTAAGATTTCATGCTAGGCTCATTTTATATTAGTGCATAGATAATAGCGTCTTTCAGGAAATTTGAATTCGTGGTTCTTCTATTAGCTGCTCAGTAACTAGCAACCCAGAATCCGCTTTAACTCCGAGAGGACACCGCTTACTGGGCCAGGACTGTCTAGGCTGGCACTTTTGTTTTGGATTCTCAGGCGTTTGCCCTTACCTTTCCTTTTCTCTCCCCTTCTCTCCACAGATTGGTGAAAGACAACAAGTGTTAGTGACCGAAGAGTCTTTTGATTCCAAGTTTTACGTTGCCCACAATCGATTCTACGAGCAGGTGAGCGACACTTCCGAGGCCTGATGCTTTCTCCGGAGTGAGAGAGGGCTGTGAAGCAAATCACCTTAAGCAAAAGGAACCGAAAGGAGGGGAGGGTTGTAGAGTCCTGTCATAGCAAGGGCATTTTAGAACATCGGGTCGGCTAGATGAACAGGGCCCTTATCTCTGTGGTTTCGTCCACAGAATGCCTCTGCAAAGGAGTAAGTGTGTTTTCGTCTTCAGTCGTCTTTGCCGGGACCAGCCGTGGGCTTTAGGAGGCGAGAACGGGTAGTCCTCGCTGCCGGAATTCCCACAGCCTGGCAGAGGAGAGGGGAAAGTTCTGTCCAGGGAACAGGAAGGATGTCTGCCACTTCGGCGGGGAAGGGCAGGGATTTCCTCCCGGGGCCCTGGCTCTCACTCAGGTGGTCAGTCGGTCGATTGTTTTTTTCAGTTCTGTTTAGTTGTAGGATTTTTGGTTTTTTGTTTTTTGTTTGTTTTTGTTTGTTTGTTTGTTTGTTTTAACTTCCACCTTGGTGAGAATGCTGGGGGCCAAGGGGAAAGAGTCCATTCTGTGGATTCAGCTCATGTGGCCAGCTCTGGAGACCAGCATGAAGATCAAACCAGCTTCACTGTGAGCATCGTCTTCACAGGCCGAGCCTGCCCACCGGCCAGCGGCCTTGCCCTCCCTTGTAAACTGGACCGGCTCGCCGCACTGCCGGCCCGCCCAGCTTCTCTCTCAACATTTGGGATTCCACTCCCCCAAGACGGGGAGCTGTTCAGAAGCAACTGAAGAATACAGAGTGCCTCCTTCAGGGGCCGTGGCCCTGGAAAAGGCCCAGGAAGAGAGGGGCTCTCCCCAATTCGACAGGAGACTCTCCATGGGCATAGGGATTTCGTAGGTCACTCCTGGACTCTGTTAATGGTTTTTTGTTTTGTTTTGTTTTGTTTGAGATTTTATTTATTTGAGAGAGAGCACCAGCAGGGGGAGGAGCAGAAGGAGGGGGAGGAACAGACTCCCCGCCGAGCCGGGAGCCCATTGGGAGAACTTGATCCCAGAGCCCTGGGACCATGACCTGAGCCAAAAGCAGACACTTAACCGACTGAGCCACCCAGGCGTCCGACTATTAACTTTTCTTAATACCAAATGTGTTTTCCTACTTTTTGTTCCTTTCTCGTTAAATAAGAAGTGAATTTTTTTTTCCCCTGTGGGTCGTGGCTGAAATTAGAGTGTGGGAAGCCTCTTCAGGCTAGGTGGGTGAGTCAGGGGAGGGGGGGCAAGGGAAACCCCCCACCCTTGTCAGAAAGCAGGGAAGCCGTAGTCGAAGAGACCTCCCATGCTGATGCTTCCCAGGGAGTAACCCCAAACTGGGCCCTGAGTCCTCAGGAAATGCGGGAGGAACTTTTCCAGGCCCAGACTAAACGTGCCCTGTTCCATACCCGGCAGAAACGACAGCGGAGGAAGGGTTCCCAGCACTCGATGCCGGAGCCGAGTTTCTTCCCCATTTTCCATCTCATTAGTTGGCTCCCAAGAGCCATTTTCCTATTCAGGCCAACCTGCTCGGCCCTGGGGAGGAACTCGATTGTATTTTGGTCGCCTCTTCCCTCTCTTTTCTCTGCCATCTGGGTTTCTGCCTCAGCAGGAAACTTTTTTCCCCTTCATTTTAAAGGCAATGGCATGCCTCATTAGCTGTTTCCTCCAATTTAAAGCAGCCGGGCTTTTTCCAATTATTACAACTGGAGGGGGAAAATAACACTGAGCCCTTCATTCAGATCAAGGCAGCAGATCAAGGAGAGTTATTTCTCCCCAGAATGGTACCACATCTCCCAGGGACAGTTTACTCTAGAGATTTTCTTGTTTTATAAAAAACCGATTTAAAGGGGCTTTCATATTCTGATACTAAAGCTCTTTGAGTTCATGTGCTTGCTGTGAGTAATTCAGCGCCCAGGTGACCTTTTTCCTCTCCTTTGATGAGGCCGTGGACTCAGTGGTCATAAAAAGAATCAAACCCAGAAAGACCCAGATCCCGCTTCGCCTCCCAGAGAAGTCGGCCGTGGAACCCTGGCTCGCCTCCAGCTTGTCTGTCTCTACAGCGAAGCGTATCAAAGATGTCAGAGGAATGATTTTTCTAAATAAGATGAGCTCCAGAAGTGGAGATGGTATCTAGAAATGACAGTATTACTGGGTTGGAATGAGTCTGTTTGTTTTGGATTCTGACTTGAAAAGCCTGGCAAGCGGCTGAGGTCCCGACACAGAAACGTGAGGGAGACACGCTGTGTGCAAACCTCCTCCGGGTCCCCAAGGAGGGGAACGTTTGCTCGAGGTAAACAAGTGCTTCTGTTAGAAATCTCGAGCGGAGAGAGACCGTCTGACAGTTCCCTGTGAACTAGCCAAAGGAGCCTTCAGAGCCACCGATCGTCTGGGGAGGTAGAAGGAACCAACGTGCCCGTCCCAGGACAGAGCGAGAGATGGGAATGGGGGCTGTTAGTCAGAGGAGACATTTAGCTCCAACACCAACATTTGGGCCATTAAAAAGGGGCTTTTAAATGTTCTTCTGCTCCCTGCCCCCCCAAATCACACACCCATGCTCTCTCTCTCTCTCTCTCTCTCTCACACACACACACACACACACACACACACACACATGCTCATGCACACACGAACATGCGGGCCTTTATCTGAAGTGTCTATTCAGACCATGATTCTGACAGCTGACTTGGCAGGTATGGAAAGTATAAGGCTTTCATCAGTTTGTCTCCATTTTCCTCATTGCACGGGACGGCCAAGAGAAGCATATCAAAGGCCTGTCCAAAAGCGACTGGCTTGATTGCTGGGGGCTCTCCTGGGTTGCCTGCCACATGCCTGAAGACAGCAGGCATCCCGAGGAAGGAGCATTGTCTCCAGCCCGTGGCTCCTCCCACACACGCCTTCCTTGCCTACAGGATCTCCAGATCCTTGAGCAGCTGGAAGATGGAGCCTACTCGGGATAGGATCTCAGGACAGAGAGAAGATGCGAGGAGGCAACCAGGGATGTCCGAATAAAGGATGGACTGCGGTGGATAGTCATACATCAGTGTGGGTTCATTCATTGTGACAAACGTCCCGTACTCGTGGTAGGATGTTCGTAATAGGAAAATAGGGGTCTGAGGTATCCGGGACTCCTCTGCTTCCTTTGCAGTCATCCTATAAATCTAAAAACAGTGCTCTAAAATGGCAAGTTTATTTTGTTAAAATTAAGACTTGTGAATTTTTCTTTAAAGGTCTTAGTGCCAAAGAACCCCACATTCATGGGGAAAATGATCGAAGTGGACATTTACGAATCAGGCAAACACTTCATGAAAGGGCAGCCAGTATCAGACGCCAAAGTATACACGCCATCCATCAGCAAACCATTAGCAAAGGGAGAAGTCTCAGGTTTAACAGAGGTGAGTAAAAGATGCTTTTCTCTCTACCTTGCCGGTAAAACAGCGGCTGCAGAAGCACAGAGATTCCAGACCGTGTTTCTGTTATCATTTCTAGTTCCCTCTTTATGTATGCATGAGGCTTTAATCCTTCCTGACAGACTGAACTCTGAATTAGAAAGATGCGGTTTTGCTGATGCCTTTAGCTTTGCTGCTCCTCCTGGAAAGGGAATGAGCCCTTCCTACTTCTAGGCCAGCCGTGGAGAGCAAAAGGCATCATTTTCAGGTGGAAGATGGAACGCAGATCATCTGATCCAGGGCATTTCTGTGTCAGGAGATCCTGAATGGAAGGGGGTGAGGAGAGGAAGGTTTTCTTGCTTTACGAAGCTGTTGATAATACAGTAAGAGCCTGCAGTTAAACAGGCACTAAAGCGTGTCGGTGTGTGTGGTGTGAGTGCCTCTCTCCAGGCTGTTTGTTGAATATCTGCTTTAGTCATGTGGAGTGAAAATTAAACAATTTTTTTTCCTTTCTATAAAAAAGTAACCTGACCCCTCTTTTATACCTTGGTGCAAATCTGGCTGTTTGCCAGTCTCCCTCTTACATTTCATTGAGCTACAGTTGTAAAAGCTGATGGGGTGTGAAATGAAAATGTGTATCACATTTCTAAGCATCATTTGATGTCCTTTCTCCAACACAATTGTTAAGCACTCCACAAAAAAGTGTGCAGCCATGACTTTGCGTACGGAAAAATGAGAAGCGATATTTATCTGGCCATCGAGTTCCACGATTGTTTGAATGTGTGTATTATCTTTCCCCTCAAAATAAACTGCCCGGGCATGTTAATTAAGCATCGAGCGTAGCGACAAAGAGGGTGCCGTTATCTGTGTTCTCACTCACTGTGGTGATGGACTCTGGGGTGCAAACATGAGTGACGCCTCTCGTGAGCCTGACAGGGGCACGTGAAGAATCAGTGCGCACGGCCTTCGGACTGATACATGGAGTGATGCAGGCTCGCCTTCGCCCAGGCCCTGCCAACTGTGTGTCGTCCCGCTCAGCCAGGAGTGAGCTCTAGTACTTGATAAGCGTAGCCATTAACGGTTGCTGTTGCTTCAAAAAAAAAAAAAGTCCTAGGGATTTGGGATGGATGACCAGGAAGGAACACTAGAATCCAGAATTTAAATTCTCTTGCTTAAAGATTTGGCTTCTGATGTGTTAGCTAATCCTTGAGAGATTTTTCAAGGAAGTGGGCTTTTTGTTGTTGTTGTTTGTTTGTTTTTCTACAGAGTATGTATTACAAGGTTGACTTGAAATAGCCACAGTGAAAAGGATTTCACAGCAAATGGCAGTGGTGGGCAAATGATTGTTTAATTCCTTTGATGTAGGTCTATTGAAAAGGATAACGTTTTGAAACATTATCCTCAACGAAGAAAAGCAATACCCTTTTGTTAGTTCCTTGACTGTCGTGTTATCTGCTACAAGGACAGCACCATTTAAACTCTGGGGGGCAGCCTCCTCCTGTCCCCCTTCCTCCCTCCCTCCAGCCTGGAAAACGCGTTGTCATCTGTTCAGCCAACAGACCTTCTCTGCATGGGACTATCCTGGATCCTGGATGAGATGAGGAAAAGTCACTTGTGTGTTGGCCCTCCTCGGTTTCTAGGAAGGGGCAGGGCCACACTCACGAAGCCAAAGGGTTAGGACTTTCGAGGGAAAATCAGGCCAGGCTTCCATCACCGTTTGTGACTTCCTGTATGTTAGTACTGAGCGTGACCTTACGCTTCATTACTTGTCAGCTTTTAAAGATACGCCAGGCTCAGGGTCAAAAAGCCTTCTTCAGTCAATGTGTCCTGATGTTAGAAATGTTTTTGCTGATGACACAAGCCAAAATAAATTAAGCAGGAGGAGAACAGCTTGTCCCACTTTTATAGAGTAGAGAGTGGGTAGAGGTTTAATCACGTCCCAGACTCTTTAAGCTCTTTGAGCACCGGTAAAGGTTCTGGAACTCTTGAATGACAGAACCAGCCTGCTTCCTCTGTGGATGAAGCATGACCTTGGGGTCCAACAGACCTGAGTTTGCATCTGGACTTGCCAGTTTCCCCTAACCATGCAACTGCCAGGCTTCATTTGGTCTTCATTTTAATGGGAAGACTAACGTCTCACTCACAGGGTCATTGAAAGGAGTCCCTTTGGTAGTGTCTGTAAGCCAACTAATACTGTTCCTGGGACATAGCGACCAGCTGCCAAAGGTCCCTTTCCCATAAATCTAGTTGCATCTAGAAAGAGCAAACCCTGAAGATGACCTGGTACTAATCATTGTTGTTGTGTTTCGTTGTTTTAGCCCTCATCATGCAGTACACGCTGTGTAAGGGTAAGCGAGGGGAGTGGATTTCTATATACGATCGTCTGTTTAGGACCAGAGGACCCATCCCATTGGAATGTGTTTCTGCATGTTGTAGGTTTTTCCTTAGTGTGTCTTGAACAGCGACCTCCCCTGTACACTTTGTAAAGACATCTGAAAAGGTCAAATCCTCTAAAGCAAAATATTGTGTTAAGAAATTATTGGCCGAAGTAAATGCATTTATCCTCATTGAGAATTTTATGATTATTCTCTAAGTATTTAGCCCGATGCTCCTTGAGAGTTATTTTGTCCCCCTTTAGGTCCTGTTGGCGTCTTCTGATAAAAGTAGTGAGAAGTAGAACAGACTGGGGAAAGGAGCGCAACCTAGGTGGGCATCGTGGGATCCAGATTATAGCATTCTGGCATTTGTGGTAACAGACTTTGTGACCGTTTGTGTATCACTTAGGTTCCCTGGACCTCAGTTGTCTCTGGGATTCTGTGATTGAAATATTCTGTTTGACAAAAATGGATTGACTGCCTACCCTGTGGCAGGGCGTTGAATTCTATAAATATTAATAAACATCAGGCCTTGTTATTTTCAGGTTATAAGTGAGTGCCCACAACAGGATAGAAAAGGCGAGCAATAATAAAGTCAAAGGTTACTGTCCTCTACGAAATTATGTGCTAGGAAACAGCGTATGGTAACATCTTTCATGATTATTCCCATCTTTCCTTTCAGTTTGGTTAAAGGAATAGAGAATTAGAAAGAGAGGGTGATAGGAAAGAAGCAAAATTGGTCTGAATATTTTTAAGGAATACGGAAGCAAACAGCTACCTATAAGCTAATGGGGAACATTTCTGAGTAAGTATCATTTTAAGGATAGTTAATTTCAAAAAAAGGTTATATAATAATTAAACAGGGGAAAGCATCATGGAATTCAAAGGACAGCTATAAATCAAAGAAAGGGGAGATCATGAACTTTTATATGGAAAGTATCAGGGGGCTTTGTTCTTAGGAGGAAGCAAGGGACACATACGTTTTCATAGATGTTCTTGGATAATAATTCTCATGTGTGGTCTCCAGACTTGCATCATCGGCAAATCTGGGAACTTGTTAAAAAGGCGAATTCTCGGGCTTCAAACTGGACCTGAATCGGAAACTCTGAGAGCAAGGCCCAGTAACCTGTTTTCTTAATAAGCTCTCTGGGTAATACTGGTGCCTGCTCAAGTTTGAAAACGACTCTTCTAAGAAAATGATTCTCAAGTGGGAAAGAGTGTTTGCTATTTATAAAAGCAGTTTTAATATTGTAATGTAATAAGGCCAAATTTCCACACTTCGAACTTCAGAAAGCGTGGGACTGCATCCCCCTGGATGGTGAAGACTGTCTCATCTGCGTATTAATAATTCTCCTGAAGTGGGTTGTAGAAATGATTGTGGGGACATGCAAACCTGCCTATGGGGAGGGGATACTTAGGGGGAAGGGCCAGAGACATGGGAACCCTGAGAAAAAGCACAAGTTTTAAGGTGTTGAAGAGCGGTGATATTTTTGCCACACTCCCTCATAGAGCCCAAGTGTGTCGTAACGTATCCTGTTCAGTGCGATGATCGTTTTACACAGTTGAAGTTTCCTCAGAAAATTGCCATGCCATCCAGTCATGCCACCTGAAGAAAACCCGTGGGGAAACAGTGCCTACTGCACCAGATTTGTGACCACCTGATAATATGAAAAATTACCCAAGAGTCGTCATCGAGGAGTTGTTTTGTTTTAACTCAGTTATGGAAAATTTGTACTGTAGCAAATTTCAAGCATAATACATCTCACATACCTGTCACCCACCTTTAACATGTGTAACTTCTTTTCTTCCACACTGAAAATCCCAGGTCCTCGTCACCTTGCGTAAGTACTCATGGGCTGTGTCCTGTGCTACTCACATAACTGTCCACGAATAACCGTACTAGCGCCATCACCTACAGTGTGACTCCTGAGCGCGGAGCTGAGTTGAGGTGGCGGTGGTGGGGAGGTGGTTTTACAGGTGTTTTTGTTGCTGGGTATTTCCCTCAAGGGATGTACGGGCAGAGGCTGGTTTTCAAGTGAGCCGAAATCATTCCTCTCTGTACGGCTGTACCAGCCAGTGACTACTCTGCTAGGAACATTTGTTCCACTTTATTTTCAAATTTGGGGGGAATTTAAAAAATTTAGTTTTGTTTCAAAATCATGTAAAATATTTAGCAAAATCAAATCTACGGAAGTATGTTCTGAGAAGTTCACCTTCTGTCTTCTCCACCCTGTGTCTTCTCTTACCTATTTAAGGAATTTTGTTTGCTTTAGTTTTTGGCTTATTCTTCCGAGGGTTTGCTTTAACAATATAAACACATACATGTACATGTTTTTTGCCACCTCCGTCCTAGATAAATTGTAGACACTTTTGCTGTTTTTCACAGTGTATCTTGACAGCTACTGCCTAGCAGTATATGAAAATTCAGTGGATGTTTACACTGATTTTTGTTAGGCTCTTCAGCAGAGTACATGAGAGTCTGTGTTATTCTTGTCTCTAAGTTGAATACTATTACCCTGTACGAAACCCAGCGTCTTCTCGGTCAAAGAAGAGAGAGGCGGGATGACCTCAAAGTACTTAGGTAGCCAGAGAAACAGCAGACCGGTCAGAGGTGAGGAGTGGTTCGGTAAT